AAGACAAAACTGTCCAAAAAGGATCACCATTTATTACTTGTGTTCCAAGACTAAAACATTTTCGGCGACTGACCTTCCTTTTTAGGCTACTTGTCGCCGGAAAGTTTACAAAAAGTCCTTTTAAAAAACACAAAACATCCAATTAAAATTTTTAAAAATTTCTGAAAAAGGAACTGGTGACATACAGCCGTCTTGCTTACTTCCATCTTTCCGGCAACAAGTAGCCTAAAAAGGAAGGTCAGTCGCCGAAAATGTTTTAGTCTTGGAACACAAGTAATAAATGGTGATCCTTTTTGGACAGTTTTGTCTTCAATTTTATTTTATTAGAAATAATTCACCATCAGACGAACTTTTACAGAAGAATTAGAATTATAATTGTTCAGTTTTATGGCCTAATATTATCAATGAAAATAGAAAACACAATTATATGTTGTATTCATCTGCATTGCATTGCAACTAAACATAAAACTGTCTGAAATTTCACTTAAGGAGGCAAATATTTTATTTATTGTAATGTTTCCAAGAGCTTTCGTCTAGTGATATACGCATTAAAATTTAAATACAAAATCATTTGAGTTTCGCTTGAATGAGTAATATTTTATTTTTTTTTCAAAACTACTCTTTCTGTATTGTGAACTACAATTTAAAACAAATAAAGGCTGTTTCAAAAAGTTTCAAGATGATATTAACATATAAATAGATATGTAAATGATTATTTAGAAAATTAATGGGATTGTTGAGTTTGTGGAAGAGCTAAACAAAAATAACAATGGTTGTATTCTTTCTATTTCTAACAAAATAGAAAGAATGGGAGAAACATCTGTGAGTTACTTGGATACAGCAATAAAAGTGAAAAGTAAAATAATTACAGAAGTATGTAGGAGAGACATAGCCAGAGAATCTTTAATATACTGTAGGTCAAGAGAATTCTCAGTTTACAAATTAGAAGGGTTATATATATTGTAGCAAACAATCAGAATTACAAGTAATTTTATAGAGTTGAATGAGCTCATTATGTAGACAGTAGGTACATTCCAGTATATGCCAAACAGTGCATTGGTGAACCACAATGTAATAAAATGTGTTCCGATATTCACTGATAAACTCGGTGAATATTAGAATGCGTATTAGTGGGACTGATGCATGTCAGAATGATGTGCATATGGTGAGCTCTGATCAAACAATATGCACCTGGTTGTGGAAGCCACGGTTATATTATTAACACCATTTTTACTACTTATCTCTATATTCGTATGTAAATATTCAATACTTGAATGCTTATAATCCAACTCATTGCAGTTATGATGTAAATTGTTTGTTAATATTTGTATATTTATTAAATGGAAATCACTTCATCAATTAATTTTTGTATCATTTACTTTTTCTTGATAGATGATCGATGGATAAACAAAGTCATCCTGACAGACAGCCATGACAGAACCATAAGAAGCATAGCATGGTCTCCCTGTGGTAACTACCTGGCGTCGACCAGTTTCGACGCCACCACGTGCATATGGGATAAGAAGAATGGAGAATTCGAGTGTATTGCCACGTTAGAAGGACACGAGAATGAAGTGAAAAGTGTCGGTTGGTCTATATCTGGACAGTATCTAGCCACGTGTAGCAGAGATAAATCCGTCTGGATCTGGGAAGGTAAAGTTATATTTGTTTTCATATACAGTGGGTGATTGGTTAACGAACAAATCAGATAACGAACACTTTCGCGAAAGATTTTGATGATTGGACAACAAACACTTCACTGAACAAACACAAGAAGAAGCGACGTAAAATAACGAATATCGATTAGTCTTCCTTTATCTTCAGGCAACAATTCAAAACTTTTTGGAGTGCGGGAGACATCGACATCAGCGTTCTACCCAGTATTATACTGATTGGATAGTACACCCCCCGAACTTTGAAACTCTCCCTTGTAATTCCAGCTTTTTATATTTCTGACAGAAACAATTCTTTTGTTTTCTTCTGAAAATGCAGATTTATGCTGATATCTGCTATTAAAGATCTTTTGAAGAAGTGGGAGGATGTCAGAACAACGGTCTTAAAATGGCATCCAAACCAGGTTGAGGTTAATAGGCCTAGGGAGCTCTACAATTACAATGCTATTAATTACTTCTAAAAAGTCATGAAGAAGACAGAAAAGCAATTGACATTGGACAGATTCTTCAAACCCACAAACGGAAATAACAGGACTAATAAAAATGCAAGACCGTGTATATATGTATTTTTATTACATATGAATAAATATAGTAAGAAAGTATATATTTTTTATTTTTGGGGGGTCTCCAGAACGAATTAATCAAATTCCCATAGAAACCTATGGTAAATCAATAATTGGTTAACAAACAATTTAGATAGCAAACAAAGTCTTGGAATGGATTATGTTCGTTAACCGATCACCCACTGTATTTAGTATTTTTGTAAATTTTAATAAAATATTTTTATTGACAGTGAACGAAGACAGTGAATACGAGTGTGTAAGTGTACTTAGCGATCATACGCAAGATGTGAAGAGAGTGAAATGGCATCCGCATAAAGATGTAATTATTATTGTTCCTATTTATTTACCAGAAACATCAACATTTTTCTTTAATGTACAGAATTATTGAAATTTAAGTCATCTTATGGTGTTGAAGTTATGAAATGAGACATTGAAAGTTTGTTTTTCTTGAGTAATTATGCTATTTTATAATGTAAATAGTATAGTTGATTTGCTATTGTTTCTTCTGATGATAAACTTCATTGCCCAAGAGTTCTTGAGAAAGTGATAATTTATGTTAGTAAGCTCGAATAAAGCATATATAATTTATAAAATTGGAATTTTGTTTATTAATAATTTTTGTTAATTATTAATAAATAATGTTTTAATTTTAGCAATTTACAAGTTTTAATTAATGTAAGATACGAGGTCTGTTCAAAAAATATGCGGACTGTTGGAATTGTGCGGCTCCAGTTGGTTCCAGGGGAATCAGCTTGGTGTCGCTAGGTTTGTACAGATTGTCAGGTGATAAAGCCGTTTTCTGATTACAGATATCTTTATTTGTTGATTAACTACGTGGTTTTTAGTGAAGTGCGATTTTTTCATTTGTCGGATTTCAAAATGAATGACCTGATGGAATAATAATGACTTGTTGTGAAATTTTGTGTTAAACTTGGAAAATCTGCGACTGAAACATTTGCTATGCACAGCATTCTTACGGTTATATTGCTATGAAGCATACAGCATGTTTGAGGTGATCCCCCAGACCCAAAAAAGCTCGCCAAGTTTGATCCAATGTCAAGGTGATGCTGACAGTTTTCTTTGGTGTTGTTCACCATGAGTACCTCCCCCAAGGCTCCACAGTGAACCAGAGTTACTACATTGAAGTTCTGAAATGTTTGAGGTATGCCATTCGTCGCAAAAGGCCAGAAATGTGGAGCAGTGGCGACTGGTTTCACCATCACAACAATGCTCCAGCCCATTCAGCCTTAGAACTCGTGAGTTTTTGGCCAAACACTCGATCACTGTTCTTCCCCACCCCCTACTCATTTGACTTTGCTCCTTGTGACTTTTTCTTGTTCCCCAAACTCAAAAGACCCTTGAAAGGAAGAAGATTTCAGACAATTCCTGAGATTAAGGCAAATGCGACGAAGGTGCTGAAGGACATTACAAAAGAAGCGTACCAGGACTGTTTCAACAAGTGGAAACACTGTTGGGCTAAGTGTGTGCATTGGGAAGGAAAGTACTTTGAAGGGGATCCAGACATGTAACTTCTACATAAAGTGCATTTTGTTTTGTGATGTCAGTCCGCATATTTTTTGAACAGAACTCATATTAACACAGTTGTTAAGGAAGCTTTACAAATATGAATTTAATTCAAATACTGTATCCTGAGGCTCTTTTATAGAAAATTCTATCACTTTAGGTTTTATGCTTGTTGTCAGAAGTTGGTAAGCCTCTTGACGACAAGTGTAAAGTTGAGAAAAAGATAATATGGAAAAACAAAAGAAGATAATACAGTCTACCTCAGTTAGTAATAATCCAGCATTTTTTCTTGATCTTTACTTCTCTCGTCAATNGAAAGTGGATAAATCTTCGTTTCCTGTGGAGCCCGTCCATTAAATACGTGTACAAATTAAGGGGAAGAAAAGGTTGCGAAAACTTCATCGTTGTATACAAGTAAAAGTGGACCCTTAATTAATGGACGGCCCCTTGATAGTTTCTGTCTCTATCCTACGTCAGCTTTAAGAAAAGAGCAAAGGGATAGTCTCGCCGTTCACGGGAATTAAATATAGGTTCTAGTATGACGTCATGCTAATGTGAATTAACTCCCGCGGGAACACTAACATAACTCGTATTCTTGTTATTCCCGATTAACTGTCTTCGTGTAAATGTAGCTTCCTTGAAGATTTGTTTGTAACGTATCCACGCACTCTGGTGACAAAATTCGATTCGATGTTTCGATTAATCTAAAATATTTTGATTCTTGTTTTAAATACAAATAAAATTCAATTTTAAAATAAATTGTGTTTTATACTAATTTTGTAAAAACTTGATTATTTTACTTAAATATTTAGATTTAGACATTACATTTGTTGTATTCGAAATCACTATTTTTGAATGAATATTAAAATAAAAGTATTTCTTGAATAAAAATATTAACAAAATTCACATTTAGTAAAGGAATATTGAATAAAAATACATATATATAAAAAAGTAATTTTATTTAATTTTGAACTATTTTTATTAATATTATTTATAAATAAATCGGCAGGTGGTGCTGTGTTTTAATGGCCGCCTACGTGTTTACGTTTCTGAAAAACACGTGATTGTTTTATTTTCAAATAAAAAATGAGATTGAAAGAAATAGGGTGCTTAGAAGGACACAACGATCGTGTTTGGTGCGTTTCTTGGAATCTCGAAGGTACTCTTTTAGCAAGTTGTAGTGGCGACAAAACAATTCGAATTTGGACGGAAGAAGGTAAATACTCGTGTTTAAATCTGATAGATGATGGCCACATAGCCCTAGTCACGTGTCGTGGGAGCACAAATGTAGTTTTGAATGAAGCGATTGAGACCTATTGAGACGCTCCTATTGGGGATGGGTCCTTTAATAAGGTCCCACCGTCCATAGGATCATGACAATTCTGTATACATGTTTAGAATGAAACAATGTCTAAATTTTGATATTAATGCAGCAGATATTGACAAAAATGCTGACTTAATTAATAAATAAAATGTTTAGTAAATGCAAAAATTATAGTAATATTTACAGATGAGGAGATTTAAATAAATTAAATCTTTGAATCTTTGACACAAATTCTTAACAGCAACAATATTAAGGTGTTTATGTTCATTTAATGGTTGTCACTCTGGTCCTAGTCTCTTTTATTAACTCTATAGGAAACATCATGAATGCATACATGACAAAACATTTCTGAAAATTATTCTAGGATTCAATGATTTATTTATTAAGAGCACTTATATATAATTTAATTGAATATTCTTCCTATAAGAAATATTTTAGGTACTGAAAAGCATATAAAAGCTATTGAGTGTGTTTAGAAACTGTTTTATAAGGACCTTGAATAAGTTCTTGCTGTTCTTTAACAGATGGCGTTACCAGAACCACGCGTGTTTATTTTTAGATGGTGATGCATCTGTAAGGAAGTACAATAAGCGACCTTGAAATTCAGTATATGTCATTTCACCGAAGTGTAAACAACTTATTTTTTCATTGTGTTAAACATGTCTAGTTTTGTGCCAAAAAAAGAGTATTTGCAGGGAATTTTATTGCACTATTTTATTCAAAAAAAATCTGCAGCTGAAGCGCACAGAATTCTTGTTGAGACTTACGGCGACCATGCTCTGTCAGAAACAACATGCAGAGATTGGTTTAGACGCTTCAAAAATAATGATTTTGATGTTGAAGATAAAGAACGATCTGGTGCACCAAAAAAGTTTGAAGACGAGGAATTAGAGGCATTACTTCATGAAGACTCATGTCAGACGCTAGCTGAACTTGCAGAATCAGTAGGTGTTGATCACACAACAGTTTCGAAATGTTTAAAAGGATTAGGAATGATTCAAAAGCAAGGACATTGGGTGCCATACGAGTTGAAGCTGAGAGACATCAAACGGTGTCTTTTCACATGTGAACAGCTGCTTCACCGGCAGAAAAGGAAAGGTTTTCTGCATCGTATCGTGACAGGTGACGAAAAATGGATACACTACGATAACACTAAGCGTAGAACATTGTGGGGTAAGTCCTGGCCATGCATCAACATCGTCAGCAAGGCCGAATATCCATGGTTTGAAGCTTCTGCTCTGCATTTGGTGGGATCAGCTAGGTGTAGTTTATTACGAGCTGCTCAAACCAAATGAAACCATCATGGGAGATCGCTATCGACTACAATTGATGTGTTTGAGCCAAGCATTGAAGGAAAAACGGTCGCTATATGAGCAGAAACACGACAAAGTGATTTTGCAACATGACAATGCTCGGCCACATGTTGCACAACCGGTGAAAACGTACTTGGAAACGCTTAAATGGGAAGTCCTACCCTGCTCGCTGTATTCACCAGACATCGCCCCTTTGGATTATCACTTGTTCCGATCAATGGCACATGGCCTGGCTGAGCAGCACTTCCATTCTTATGAAGATCCCAAAAAATGGGTTGATTCTTGAATAGTCTCAAAAGACATGTCGTTTTTCCGACGTGGAATTCAAATGCTGCCAGAACGATGGGAGAAAGTAGTGGCTAGCGATGGACAATACCTTCAGTGACGTGTTTATTACAACTTTTTTAAAATAAAGTGTTAATTTTCACAAAAAAACAGCAAGAACTTATTCAAGGTCCTTATGTCATTTCTACTGAAAAGTTAGGAAATCTTAATTTTGTATTAAGCATTATTTAAAATCTGAGTTTCCTTGAGAGGAAAGAGAATTAGAATTTCTAATAAAATAAAATTGAAGGCAAAACTGTCCAAAAAGGATCACCATTTATTAATTGTGTTTCAAGACTAAAACATTTTCGGCGACTGACCTTCCTTTTTAGGCTACTTGTCGCCGGAAAGTTTACAAAAAGTCCTTTTAAAAAACACAAAACATCCAATTAAAATTTTTAAAAATTTCTGAAAAAGGAACTGGTGACATACAGCCGTCTTGCTTACTTCCATCTTTCCGGCAACAAGTAGCCTAAAAAGGAAGGTCAGTCGCCGAAAATGTTTTAGTCTTGGAACACAAGTAATAAATGGTGATCCTTTTTGGACAGTTTTGTCTTCAATTTTATTTTATTAGAAATAATTCACCATCAGACGAACTTTTACAGAAGAATTAGAATTATAATTGTTCAGTTTTATGGCCTAATATTATCAATGAAAATAGAAAACACAATTATATGTTGTATTCATCTGCATTGCATTGCAACTAAACATAAAACTGTCTGAAATTTCACTTAAGGAGGCAAATATTTTATTTATTGTAATGTTTCCAAGAGCTTTCGTCTAGTGATATACGCATTAAAATTTAAATACAAAATCATTTGAGTTTCGCTTGAATGAGTAATATTTTATTTTTTTTTCAAAACTACTCTTTCTGTATTGTGAACTACAATTTAAAACAAATAAAGGCTGTTTCAAAAAGTTTCAAGATGATATTAACATATAAATAGATATGTAAATGATTATTTAGAAAATTAATGGGATTGTTGAGTTTGTGGAAGAGCTAAACAAAAATAACAATGGTTGTATTCTTTCTATTTCTAACAAAATAGAAAGAATGGGAGAAACATCTGTGAGTTACTTGGATACAGCAATAAAAGTGAAAAGTAAAATAATTACAGAAGTATGTAGGAGAGACATAGCCAGAGAATCTTTAATATACTGTAGGTCAAGAGAATTCTCAGTTTACAAATTAGAAGGGTTATATATATTGTAGCAAACAATCAGAATTACAAGTAATTTTATAGAGTTGAATGAGCTCATTATGTAGACAGTAGGTACATTCCAGTATATGCCAAACAGTGCATTGGTGAACCACAATGTAATAAAATGTGTTCCGATATTCACTGATAAACTCGGTGAATATTAGAATGCGTATTAGTGGGACTGATGCATGTCAGAATGATGTGCATATGGTGAGCTCTGATCAAACAATATGCACCTGGTTGTGGAAGCCACGGTTATATTATTAACACCATTTTTACTACTCATCTCTATATTCGTATGTAAATATTCAATACTTGAATGCTTATAATCCAACTCATTGCAGTTATGATGTAAATTGTTTGTTAATATTTGTATATTTATTAAATGGAAATCACTTCATCAATTAATTTTTGTATCATTTACTTTTTCTTGATAGATGATCGATGGATAAACAAAGTCATCCTGACAGACAGCCATGACAGAACCATAAGAAGCATAGCATGGTCTCCCTGTGGTAACTACCTGGCGTCGACCAGTTTCGACGCCACCACGTGCATATGGGATAAGAAGAATGGAGAATTCGAGTGTATTGCCACGTTAGAAGGACACGAGAATGAAGTGAAAAGTGTCGGTTGGTCTATATCTGGACAGTATCTAGCCACGTGTAGCAGAGATAAATCCGTCTGGATCTGGGAAGGTAAAGTTATATTTGTTTTCATATACAGTGGGTGATTGGTTAACGAACAAATCAGATAACGAACACTTTCGCGAAAGATTTTGATGATTGGACAACAAACACTTCACTGAACAAACACAAGAAGAAGCGACGTAAAATAACGAATATCGATTAGTCTTCCTTTATCTTCAGGCAACAATTCAAAACTTTTTGGAGTGCGGGAGACATCGACATCAGCATTCTACCCAGTATTATACTGATTGGATAGTACACCCCCCGAACTTTGAAACTCTCCCTTGTAATTCCAGCTTTTTATATTTCTGACAGAAACAATTCTTTTGTTTTCTTCTGAAAATGCAGATTTATGCTGATATCTGCTATTAAAGATCTTTTGAAGAAGTGGGAGGATGTCAGAACAACGGTCTTAAAATGGCATCCAAACCAGGTTGAGGTTAATAGGCCTAGGGAGCTCTACAATTACAATGCTATTAATTACTTCTAAAAAGTCATGAAGAAGACAGAAAAGCAATTGACATTGGACAGATTCTTCAAACCCACAAACGGAAAAAACAGGACTAATAAAAATGCAAGACCGTGTATATATGTATTTTTATTACATATGAATAAATATAGTAAGAAAGTATATATTTTTTATTTTTGGGGGGTCTCCAGAACGAATTAATCAAATTCCCATAGAAACCTATGGTAAATCAATAATTGGTTAACGAACAATTTAGATAGCAAACAAAGTCTTGGAATGGATTATGTTCGTTAACCGATCACCCACTGTATTTAGTATTTTTGTAAATTTTAATAAAATATTTTTATTGACAGTGAACGAAGACAGTGAATACGAGTGTGTAAGTGTACTTAGCGATCATACGCAAGATGTGAAGAGAGTGAAATGGCATCCGCATAAAGATGTAATTATTATTGTTCCTATTTATTTACCAGAAACATCAACATTTTTCTTTAATGTACAGAATTATTGAAATTTAAGTCATCTTATGGTGTTGAAGTTATGAAATGAGACATTGAAAGTTTGTTTTTCTTGAGTAATTATGCTATTTTATAATGTAAATAGTATAGTTGATTTGCTATTGTTTCTTCTGATGATAAACTTCATTGCCCAAGAGTTCTTGAGAAAGTGATAATTTATGTTAGTAAGCTCGAATAAAGCATATATAATTTATAAAATTGGAATTTTGTTTATTAATAATTTTTGTTAATTATTAATAAATAATGTTTTAATTTTAGCAATTTACAAGTTTTAATTAATGTAAGATACGAGGTCTGTTCAAAAAATATGCGGACTGTTGGAATTGTGTGGCTCCAGTTGGTTCCAGGGGAATCAGCTTGGTGTCACTAGGTTTGTACAGATCGTCAGGTGATAAAGCCGTTTTCTGATTACAGATATCTTTATTTGTTGATTAACTACGCGGTTTTTAGTGAAGTGCGATTTTTTCATTTGTCGGATTTCAAAATGAATGACCTGATGGAATAATAATGACTTGCTGTGAAATTTTGTGTTAAACTTGGAAAATCTGCGACTGAAACATTTGCTATGCACAGCATGCTTACGGTGATATTGCTATGAAGCATACAGCATGTTTGAGGTGATCCCCCAGACCCAAAAAAGCTCGCCAAGTTTGATCCAATGTCAAGGTGATGCTGACAGTTTTCTTTGGTGTTGTTCACCATGAGTACCTCCCCCAAGGCTCCACAGTGAACCAGACTTACTACATTGAAGTTCTGAAATGTTTGAGGTATGCCATCCGTCGCAAAAGGCCAGAAATGTGGAGCAGTGGCGACTGGTTTCACCATCACAACAATGCTCCAGCCCATTCAGCCTTAGAACTCGTGAGTTTTTGGCCAAACACTCGATCACTGTTCTTCCCCACCCCCTACTCATCTGACCTTGCTCCTTGTGACTTTTTCTTGTTCCCCAAACTCAAAAGACCCTTGAAAGGAAGAAGATTTCAGACAATTCCTGAGATTAAGGCAAATGCGACGAAGGTGCTGAAGGACATTACAAAAGAAGCGTACCAGGACTGTTTCAACAAGTGGAAACACTGTTGGGCTAAGTGTGTGCATTGGGAAGGAAAGTACTTTGAAGGGGATCCAGACATGTAACTTCTACATAAAGTACATTTTGTTTTGTGATGTCAGTCCGCATATTTTTTGAACAGAACTCATATTAACACAGTTGTTAAGGAAGCTTTACAAATATGAATTTAATTCAAATACTGTATCCTGAGGCTCTTTTATAGAAAATTCTATCACTTTAGGTTTTATGCTTGTTGTCAGAAGTTGGTAAGCCTCTTGACGACAAGTGTAAAGTTGAGAAAAAGATAATATGGAAAAACAAAAGAAGATAATACAGTCTACCTCAGTTAGTAATAATCCAGCATTTTTTCTTGATCTTTACTTCTCTCGTCAATTTGTGATGATGGGTATAAAGTGCAAAAGCATTCAAATTTTCACTTGAAATAAATAGAAGGTTGAATTGAATTTATATTCAAAAAATTTCCTTAACAAATTTTGTTATTTTCTAATTATTTTACATAACATTTTTAAATATTGACTTATTGTCACAGATATTAGCATCTGCCAGTTATGATAACACTATTAAAATGTTTAAGGAAGATGGAAATGATTGGAGTTGCTTTTGCACATTAAATTCTCACACTTCGACAGTTTGGTCTTTTGATTTTGATTGCACAGGGACCAGATTGGCTTCCTGCAGTGACGACAAGACCATAAAAATATGGAAGGAATATTTAGTGGATAATCAGCAAGGTTAGTTTAAAAATCATTTTTAATCATTAGACAATTGTTTCAAATGTCTAATGATATTTTTGATAAATCTTAATGATAAATTAAGATAAATCTTAATGATATTTTTCTCTGAAGGAATAGTTGTGACCGATGATCCAGTGTGGAAATGCGTCGCAACGTTGTCTGGTTATCATTATCGTCCCATTTACGACATAAGTTGGTAAGTAAACGATATTGTTTGTATGTTTGTTATTAAAAACAGAGAGAAATATACAAATTAGTTTGCATAATTTGAAGCTTGTCAGCAGAAATATAATTAAATGACAATTACAAACTTCTCTGCTCTTTGTAGCCATAAAAATTATTCAAGATTATTAGATAATTATGCTTTATTTTTATATATTTAAAAATTTACTAAAAATATAATATGTTTAAAGAGCAGAATTAACACATTTGTGCCATGTGAGCTGTTTGTTACAGTTTCTATAGTTGAACAGGGCATGTATAAATGTTAATTTTGTCTCTTTAGAGCTGAAACAATTTAAGCTCTTAGGTGAGCTAGAAAGACTAAAAATAGCTTAGATGTAAAGATTTCAAGATTTTCATTTTGAAAAAAATGTAAGTTTAGGTTTGCTAAGTAAAAATATGTTTTCTGTACTCAATGACAATAAAATATTCACTCAAAATTCATAAATGTCATTCTTCTGCATTATTTACACAGGCAAATAATAGTTAAAACAATTTATTTTTGTATCAGATAAAATTTTGTCAAATTTGAATGTTTAGAAATGGCAAAAAAATGCAGAAAATAATTGCAATTTTGACATTTTTATGCTCTTGTAACTGGTAAAACATTCCAAGAGAACCACCAAATGATGTGCTTTCACTTTTTAATTTAGAAAAATTACATGTATGGATGTTCATAATTAGTTTCTCCATAAGATGCTTTTATTGAACAGATATTTTATCAATATGCATTTGAAATTGAAAAAATTTGGTGATCTGTGAGACTAGTGTGTTCAGCGCCCATCAGATCACTCGAGTTTAATACGCCCATTGAGTGAAAGATAGTATTCCAGTCATAAGCAGCTTAGAATAACAAATGCATTTCTTTAGGTGCGACCTAACTGGAATTATTGCAACTGCATGCGGCGACGACTGCATTCGTCTCTTTCAAGAAGATGCCATTCGGGATCCCGATTCTCCAACCTTCAGTCTCGTTGTGACTGTCAGAAATGCCCATTCTCAGGATGTTAATGGCATTGCTTGGAACCCAAAAGTGCCTGGATTGTTAGCTTCAGGGGGTGATGATTGTACTGTAAAACTGTGGAGAACACAGGAGGAATAAAACATTTCCCATTATTTAATTGGAACTATTTTTTCAAGTAAATCAACTGGCACATTAGAATAAATTACAATTAGTTTTTTAAATAGCAAAGTAAAATTTAAATGGAAATGTTTAATATTTTTATTGTTATTTAAATACTAATTAAATTTTTGTATAAAAATATGCTGTAAAATTGCTCGATTAATTATAATTGTCTCAGTTACATAATAATTGTTAATATAATTATTATTTTTTACTATGGGATGAGTGGAAAGTAACTAGACATTGAGATATTGCTATAATTTTTGTAATAATAATGCAATCATAATAAAATGTGTGTGTCCGTGTACATCAATAAATGGAATTTTATAATTTCCATATCGGTGGTATGGACAATGACTAAGAGGCTGCATGTGCAGTGGCAAAAAAGACAGCCGACCACTAGTCTATATGGGAACAAGTGTAAATTGATGTGAGACTCCATGCCTCCATGCTGTAAGGTGTGGAAATCAGTGATTGTCATGCAGAGATGGTGACATATGATGAAGGGAAGTTATGGCACAATCTGTCCAGAAATAATCAAGAATTGTCATCGAAAGCTAATGATTGCAAGTTTGGTTGCAGACGTACAGAGAACTGGCCATTCATCCACATCAGGATCTCTAGTTGTTTGAAAAAATTGGCAGACAATGCCAGTGCCTGCATTGAATTCTAAGGTATTCATCCATATTTCCACTTAATAAGTTACGTGTCACGTAATTTTTATCATATTTGGAACAGAAATATAGAAATTATAGTGATTTCTCAATGCCTAGTTTCTTTTCACCCACTCTGTGTATTGTCTTATAAATATGAAAACTTAGATGCATTGTAGAAATGTTTGTTATTTAATTCAATTTAAAACTTTCTAAGATCATGCTGCTTAAGTTTTGTAAATGTTGTGATTTCATATCAACGATACAATAACAATGTGGTCGATAAATCCGTTTTATTTGAGTCTTCATTACATAACAGATCATCATCGTCTCAGATTTGCCGAATAATACTATTCAGCTGGTAGTGTTAGAATGCAGCATATCCTCACTGAGAGAGTTCAGATTTGTGGCAAACTTGTCCATAAGCAGAGAAGTGGTAAATAAAAATGGGACTTGGTGTAGTCATGTTGAGCAAATCCGTGTTCATGGTGCCCATGTGAACTGCATTTGCAAAGAGGGATGATAATGAAATAAAAAGGAACAGAATTTACTAATAACCTAAAAGAAGCATGCTGGCCAAACTCAGGTTCACACTATGTGGACAGTTATTTTCTCCAGTGCTTAGAGAGGGGATAAATAAAAATGGAATAGAATAATCACAAAATTGATTTATGAGAAGCATTTTTAATTGAAATCTAACAAACGTTTTAAAATACAATGCATTTAATCTGTATTCGTGTTTTGTCTCACACGAAAATTATGTAAAAATTTTTGAGACATTCTCATTTTAATTATTTTGTTAATTCAAGATAAAAATAAAACACTTTCATAAAAAATAATAAGTTTATTATATGAAAATAAATATGGCAACAGTCTATGTTCATTCTGTACAGAAGTATATTTTCTATAATTCAATTGCAATTATTCTTCCAATATACTTGGGTTGGCCAAAGTACTGAAGGCACCGGCTTACCTCCAGGGGATTTGGGTTGGAGTCAGTCGACACGGATGTTTCGGGCCTGGCGAAATCCCTTTAGTGACCCTGTAGTGTCCACAAGGTGGAAATATTGTAGTTCAAATCAGATCATTGTGGAATCATCTTAAAAACATTCTTGTCACTGAATAGTTCCATAACTAATCGAATTCCCGAGTTCAACACGTAATATACTCTTTCCATTTTTACTACTTTCTTCTTCCTTAAGGCGTTTGTACTCCGTTTTAAAGAATACCACAAAAATGAAATACAGAAGAGTTAAGATTGCATTTATGACGAATAACGAGGCTGAAAATTAAGCAAATATATTAATTTTAAATCTCGAATTAAACTCTTTAAACAAGATTTTCTTAAGGCACTCACATCTCATGTCGATGATACCCATTTGCATGATAAAAAGGTAAACGGTGCCATGAATTTGCCTGTAACGAATTTATAAATATAAATGATCCATTAACTAATTTTAATTAAGAGACGTCGAGAATTAAATGTTATTTTACCCCACGATAAACAGTATTCCCGTGCTCGTAGCTTCCGGCACCAACGGATACGTACACTCGATGGACAACTCCAGATTTACGGTGTAGGCGGACATAATAAATATTCCGAATAGCACTAAGAGTATGGTAATTGCGTATTGCATGTCCGAATATCCCGCAATCTGAAAACATTACACATTCAATTTTGCATACAGTTACCTGGAAATGTCTCGTAAGATGTATTAATCTTACCACTGTAAATATATCCAGAAGAACGAAAGCCACGCCTGCCAAAACTTTTGCAGTAATGGAAAATAATTTGGTTCTGTCTAGGAATATTCCAGTGGCTAAACCTGCCACAAATCCAAACGAGATCATCAGGACAACGCACAGTCCAGAAAATTTCTAGGAAAGATAGAAATAGAACGTTTGGTACGTCCATTCCCGAGATACGATGCAAAACAGATGCCTGAATACACACGCGCAATTTTTATGGAGTAAAAGTAACTCGAAACAAGGAAACATCACTTACGTTGCTGTATCCTGTGAGGAGTAGAATTTCTTCTAACGAACTAACAAAAACTGCATAAACTCCCGTAATTGCTCCGCCAAAGAGTAACAATATTATGTAGGCCTTATTGGTAAATAACTATAAATTAGAAAAATAATTAGTAATTATATTTAATTATTCACGATCGGTGTTAAAATTTTAATTACTTCTCTAAGTGCGGCTGGAAAAGAATATGTCTGGTGTGCTTCTGCACTCTCGCTGGGTGGAGTGGGAGGTTTGGACGAAGTTATGGTTAAGCACGTGGCGACCACACCGATGACGGCAAAAACACACGAACAAAAGTTCTGTAATTAATTAATTAATTAGTTGACAAATTTGAGAGTCGTTATATTTATACCGAGAAAAATAAACATTTACCAGCCACGGAATGTCTTCCGGTGATGTCACAAATACGGGAACCATTCCAATTCCCAGCATGATTCCAAGGGGACACCCTTGAATAAAGTTTGTAAATTCAGATATTAATTAATACATTCTTAAGATTGTAGATATAAATATAAATTAGTTTACATAATTATCAATAAACATTGTCTGATTGGAATCTGATCAAGAATTGATGATTGGTACTAAGGTTGGTATAAGTTAATTTATATTATTCTAATTAGGTTGGTCGGTTTGGAACCGTGAAATATCGGTTTTAATTGCTATCTAGCATGCAGTAAATGGAAATTAATCATTATTTTTATCTCTTGTAAAGAATTTTCGTGGGAAATAACGCTGAAGAAGATAATACAGTATATGCGTAATGATATAACCACCATAAGCAGTGAATGAGGAATACCAGATCTTTGCAGATCATGTTCATTGTTTTTCCCAATTGATTTTTCTAACAAACGACCATTATGTGCCAGATGGCCGAGAGGTTAAGGTGCCAGTTTACTGTCCTGACAAACCCATCAACCCCCAGAAATTTTTCGGGGTGGTCCTTTCCGGATATGTCACGCTCCTTCCTCACCATCCGGTTGCCCCATTTTGGATCTGGCTTAAGAAAGCTCTCTAAATGCAAAACACGCGATCACTAAAGAATTACTCAAAGACTGTATAGACTTAATACTGCTCGTTTTAAAAATTCTACCTTCGTCAATTGAATGTAGTTATTGCATATTTATTATGGACAGCAAACAAGCTTATTTGTCAAATTAACCAATAAAATAATCATACCCATGGCAATAACAGATGTTGCTACTGTTCTCTCGTTGGAAGGAAACCACAATTCGCCCGCCTTTGTTGGTACGTTAACGAGCATCTGTGCCGAAGCACAAACAGCTTGGCCTAATAAGATAATTTTGAATCTCGATTGTTGTTCTACGAATTGCGTGTTGCTCATGAATTTTATAGCCGCTCCAACTACGTTTAACCATGCGCCGAGCCATACCTGCAATTAGAAAAAAAAAAGATTTACTATTCAAAACATTTAATAATATGCAAATAGATTATTATTAAGATTATTTGAATTTGGTGATCAACAAGATTACTTTCTATAAATACAAGTACAATAGATGCCTCTATAAATGACCGGACGGCCTTCAGTCTGCCGCTTTGGGGGCTGTGTTCTGATGGATGCCACCTACGTGCCAAAGCGGTTAAGGTGTCAGAGTGGCCACCACCGGATGAGATTTGAGGAATGAATTCTCTCGAAGGAAATTCAGATTATTCAGTGCCAAGTTTACACGGAACTTACATAGAAATAATTATTGATGTTGGTCCTTGTAGAACCTCAATTCTAAAATTATATTGATAAATTGATAAGAGGTCGGTGATAAACCGATAAAGAATCTGATAAGTGGACACAAAGTCTATAAAAAATTAAAAGTTTAGAATTTGAGACCGACAAATGCTTTGGGCCGATCCATTCTCTTCCGACGATCCAACGCACAAATCATTTTCCTACCCATTATCGTTAATGAATTAAATGAAAAATTACCTACTCCTTTCTTTAATCCGATGTAATCCACGAACCACAAAGCGAATATTCCCGTAGGGATGCAACATATGAAGTAAATCATGGACAACAGACTAATTTGACTCTCGCTGGCGTCGTAGTACTGTTGAGCAATCGTCGATACGCAAGAAAAACAGGCCCATAACTGAAAATAAAACAAAAGTTAAGTAAATTTGAATATCGAACTTATAAATTTGAAACAACCCGAAGTGTTATATACTTTTATATATAACAGAGAAAAAGTATGGTCATCGGTCAAAACATTACCTTCAAGATTTTTATATTTTTGAGCTCCGAACACTTTGAAACGTGGAAAAATGCAAAAAAATTCGGAGGTTTTTCTGTATGTATGAATGTAAATGTTGGTGCTTTAAAGTCGAGGGGCGATAAAGGGGATCACGTGTATCTCCAGTAGGACTTAATAACGATTTTACTCGTTATTAGCATTTACAATTTTTTTTCCTTTTTATAAAATCCATCCCTGCCATCGAAATTAAGTTTTTTTTTGTCATTTTATAATAATTAAAAATATAAAAAGTTTTTAATAATAAAATATCGTAACGGATGGCGCCACAAACGCAGTTTCAAATATTACCGGGAAAGTTAAGCAACTCGTTGGAATTGTTTTCTATGAGAAGCGTAATCCGTATCAACTGACACGGTTTAAGTTATAAAATTTTTGTTTAATTTATATTTTAATCTTATTTAAAGAAATTAACGAATGATATTTACGATTTTTTGTAATAATTATTGATATGAACCAATCACAGCTAACTCTGTAGTTGAGTCTTGACGTGTGAAAGCACGTATTTTTTTTATTATTGATGAAAGAATCATTTTAAGAGTATATTTTAACACGAAAAGTATTAAGCTTGAACGTTTTTATGGTGTTTTTATTACATTTCATCTCAAAATTGATAAAAAATAACAATCCTAGCGAAGAAAATACATGCCACACACAACTCTTTTGCTCAATTCTACGGACGGTAGACAACCAATAGGAACCAGTTCTACAGAAAATGGGCGACATAGTCAACTGTCACTCATAAATATAAACCAATCATCGATCCGATAGGCGGAACTATTGTAAATGATAGACGGTAGGCAGAGCTTTACAGAACGAATAGAAGAAAGCTATTTGACTGAATCAAGTAGGTCAGTCTCAAAATCACTTGACTGGGCTGGCAAAAATTACCCAGAAGCTATATCGAATAAGGCAATATATATAATATATGCTTTCGCTTTCATCACGTAAACTTAAACAACTGTTATTTTTTTACACTTGGACTATAAGTCAATAGGCATAATGCTAGTGGCGCGTTATCCTATGGGCAGAAAGGGAAATTGCCCGTGGCCCCCAAACCAATCTTTTATAAGAAAACATTTCGCCCAAAAATTCCCACCGAAGAAAAATGAAGTCAAAAGTATACGTGGGGCCCCTTATTTCAAATTTGCCTGGGCCCTGCGAAGCTATACCGTGCCCAGTGCCGGCTGGAGAGGAGAAATATACCAATCAGGACTTTTTAGTTTGCCTCTCTAGCCCCTAATGATTTATTACTAGCTAAGGATTGCTTAAAAAGTAATATGCGTAAAGATAACAAATACGAAGAAGCCCGAAAGTCAGTTAACTAGTTTTATTCAGCACGAATCGACAGCATTCAGATTTTTCTTTATATATTCCAAATAGATTTTTGCAAATATGAGTTTAAAACTGTGCTTTCCTCCTACAAAATTAGTAAATACGAGAATAGTTAACCGACGTTTGGGCCAACTTTTTTTTTTTACTCTTTCCGCCCTTTGGGCACTAACAGGGCCTCTTAAAGCAGGTCCATTATGAGTTCGGCCAGGCCCACAATGGGGCGACCGGGTGGTGAGGTACGGGGCCCGACATATCCGAACGGACCACCCCCGAAAAATTTCTGGAGATTTTTCGACCCGTCCGGATTCAATCCGGGTACCTCAGAGCTGTAGGCTGCCACCTTGACCGCTCGGCCAATTTGGGCCACCCTGTACAGTCATAAAGTAACAAATCCTATACATTTTTAAAGAACCGCACAGTTGAAAAGTGTTAAAAATATAAAATTATACCTAGAAGATTTACAGATTTATATTGAAATGCAACAAGGTAACGCTCAGAAACAATAAAATTTAACACGTGCTGTATTAATTTTACAAAAATTAAGATGACTTACCTCAGTATTCGAAACATTCAACAGAGTTATCGTCAATAAGACGAACCATCTCCTTCCATACACTTTATGTGCACTCATTATATCAATAGAAGTGGATAAACAAACAGACGACCCGACTTACGTCTCATTTTATAGTATTTCCTTCTTTAATTTCATTGGTTATTGTAGAAGCTGACATCATAATTGGATTTACAATGAAATCATTGAAATAAATATAGGGAAAAACATTATTTACAAATAAGATACTTCATTCCTATTATTGATTTAAAAATAGTGATAAACAGCTAAATTTATTTTGAAATTAACGATAATCTGTATCGTTGATAAGGATAATACAATGTTTCATTATGGCGCCTTATAAAAAAGTACGTTGAAAAAATGAACTTATCTCGAGATTCCGCTAAATTTATCTGATCCTTTTGAAATCTTGGAATGACAGGACATGTTTATTATGATTTGAAGATGGCGTATCACGAGTTATATAATATTTTTCCCATTGTGTTTCCACGAAAAGACTGTATTATCAATATTTAGCGTAAAAATGGAAAAACCTTTTGTATTTCTTCATAATACACGCGCAGCAAGAACTCTCATCCCTTTGCATGTCTCCGGTACAATGGTGATTGGAGTGGATCACTCCTTTGGCTGGTCTTCCGAAAGGCCTATTGCGCCTTTGAGTTTTTTTAACTCTTTCCGTCCTGTGGGCACTAAGAAGTCCTCTTTTTTAGCAAGCCCATTAAGAGTTCGACTGTACCCTTGTTTGGACCTTTACCATCCGACCAACAATGGGGTAGTCGGATGGTGAGAGACGGACACCAGGAAAATTTCTGGGTTTTTGACCCGTTCGGATTCGATTCCGGATCCCCCAGAGCGGTAGGCTGTCTTTAGTTTGGGATTTTTATCCATAATTTATTAGATGAATCGGAAGTTGTGGTTATGTAAAAATGGTTCCTATATAACATTAAGAAATAATAGTCGTTGTATAACATTATAATGTAGAACAGAAGAAATTTTTTTAGAGTTTATCTTGCAACGTTTTTACGATTGTAAAGTTACGATAAGGAACAAAGGGTTACGTTTAACATTATTTATTTAACACAGTTTGGATAGGGAAACCCCGCAGTAATTTAGGTTATTTTAAATATTGATATGTAAATTAAGCCGGTGTTACTGATACGACACTTATTACGTAAGTAAATGACCAGCAATATGACATCTTTTCACTCATCGTTCAATTCTTTCTTGGCCTGTCGATTGGTTGGAATATTGAACATTCTTACGTCAAATTGACTCATTGCTTCGGGTTCTACCACAAGAAATTCTAAAGAATAGCGCAGATTTTTTACGTAAATTTGACGTAACCAATCGAACAGACCTATAAATCCGTTTAAATTCCTCAACTCGAATATATTGCATTTAACTTAATTTTTGAAATAAGTAAATTTAAATAAAAATATAAATAAAAATTTTTTCTATTCTCGAAGTATAGGTAACAGAATCGAACCCGGTCTCTTATTGAATAACGAATATCAGCAAAAAACTACTGTTTATTTTGTGGAGGTAATAATCTCTCGCCTTATCTGCATTATTCATAATCGGCGTAATAAATATAAATTATAAAAGCATGAATTATTTATATTGAAAAACATAATGGATATAAATTGCGTCGAGAGTTAAGGTAGCGACCGTGTCATTGATCTACCACACCACTAGTAATGTGAAAGTCTGGGTCCGTTTTTTATCTGGATTTTTCCAGTTTGAGCAGTTCTGAAAGTGTTTCGCACATTATCATACTGCTCTAAGGCCATTTTCTCAAAATCCTTCCAATGAAATATGGTAATTGCAATGTATCACAACCTTATAAAGCCAACATAACTATTCGAAGCTTTTTATGGCCCACCAGTAGCCGAGTGGATAAAACTACACAACACTTGTAGTCGGTCGTGGGTTGGCACCTGGCCTACGGGCTGGCCACGTGGAATTTTTCGGATTTTCTTCACGTCAATAACACCTAAATAGAGTTCAGTTTTCCGTAGAAAGTCATCCCGGAAGGCAGTGTTACATCGCCGTATACAGACAAATAAAAAAGCTAGTTTGTTTATATACGGCAAGCTAATTTATGGTTCTTTATCAAGTGTAAACACGAAAAAAGTTATAAACTAGCTTGAAGACGTTGTAGAATCGATCCAGTTCAAGCGTGCCAAGGATTAAACGAAGCATAATTCAAATATACTGGCAACATTCAGGTATTTTTAATACTCTAGCGGGGTGTATCGTTAAAATCGGTCAAAATGGCGTTCACAGACTTCGTTTTCAACACTAGTTTATCAATTATTGGTTGCATCAACTTCGAAGCTCGTATCGATGTTGACGTTCATATCTGGAAGGATGCCAACGAAACGCTTCTCCGAAACAGTGTTTCGTTGGGAATTTACACGTTTCCTACTAAACGGAAATTCAGATTTTTCGGATGTCTTTCAGAATTTAAATGACAGTTGTTTAAGTAGGCCTAGAAATAGCCTATTAAGATGGATATGCGAGTGTAGACCGAATCTACTTATGTCCAGTTTCTGAAGATGACAGGTAAAGTAGATTCCTTCTTGAAACTTTTTATTAAAAAAAATGTTAATTTTTATTAATTTAATATAAGATCAGTTTATTTTACAAATAATTAAAATGTCTGCAATTGTAAACATTCTTGAAAAAATAAATAATACTGGCCATGCCCATTCAATCCTTTCTACAGACTTTTTTCTTGCCTATCCGGAATTCGCCCAGATCCTCAATGAGGTAATTGGCATAAAAGACTGGCTGCTATCCATGAGAATTTCCAACTCAATCCAAATTCTATAGCTTCTATCCATCGATGCGTTTTGTTCAGAACCCGATACAGTAGCAATCCCAAAATTTTCCAGAGAAACCTATGATGGCCCGGCGCAAATTAGCCAAGCCCGAAACTATTCCGGAATTTGAATTTCCAGCTAACAGCGGAAAACCTTAGATTCGTCCAATGAGTATAGGGTAATCTGCAATTGTCTTATCGCTCGTAAGCAAATTGAGAACAGAATAGGGGTTATTCGTACTAACGGAAGTTATCGGGTCCTCTATTTTTTCCATCCACTACTGTCAAACCTCTGACATTTTACTGTTTATTTCTCAATCGATCTATTGGCTCGTTGATTGATCAATACTATTTAACTTTTTTTGTCGGTTTTGTGAAATCCAAACATAACAAAGGAAGGAAATCGTCAATAGCCTACATTATGCCCATGAACCATTAAAAACTTTCTAGAGGGCAAAGTTTGGAGACAATTTTAAATAAAAATTTATAGACGTAATTTTTTGGGATTTTTTTCGTAAGTAGATTATAGACATAGTATTGCAGTAATACAAAAAAAAAAAAAAAAAAAAAAAAATAGATAAAGAATTCCACGGTCGAGAGTGTAAGGTTACGTATCTCAAGCAATTGTAAGCAATATTTTTTGATCTACTCTACGCTCTCTCTCTCTCTCGTTTATAAGCAATATTTTAAATGTCGTAATTCAAGTCTTTGCAACAAAAATCAGCGAGATTGCGGCTGAAGCGCCGCTACCTTGCAAGCGGAGCTCGACGTTTGACGTTCACGTTTTAGAAATAAAAACTTCGGCCGCAACCTCGCTATTAATTTTTAATATCAAGCGAGGCTCGCCGCAAACAGAGCAAAGCCCGAAAACAAAATTTCGAATTTCTCTACGTTGCGCTGAGCCATCTTGGATTCGTCCAGGAAATTCTAGGATCGAGCTTAGACCCTAACGTTTACACTATCTGTATGAAATTCTCGAAATAGTTGACATTAAATATTTTTTAATGTCTCACGAAATTCTTACCACTAAAAGTAATTTAAATACATCTCTCTCTCGCTTTAACTCCAGCTAAATCTAACAAATCTTCAGTGTGGAGGAATGTGTTTTTTCAGTTTATTAAAAAGTTCAATTTGTTCACCAATATCTTCTGAGATGGCACATTTACATCTCCTAATTTTGTTTTGTACATTTGTACATTTAGTGAAAATTTATCAACGTTATTCAGTGACTAAGTACTGTACATCCACGTGCTCATCTTAAGTGCTTCTTCGCCCATTTTGTGGTAGTATACAATCTTGGAAGAGTAAGTCCTACCCTCTTAATCTCTATGGAGGCTTATGGGCATCTATTTTTAAACATACTGCGACTCAGACCCATAAACAAACTGTCGACACGGTCTCTAGTCGAATGCTTCTAGTTTGGCCGAAGCGCCTTTGATTTTCTGGCAACCATCGTTTGATAAAAGACGAGCATTTTAAAAATAATTTTTAAATTTTAGCAACAACGAAAAAATCGGAGAAACACTTTAAATACCTTTAAAATGATTATTTAATATTTTTAAAATAGAATCTCGAGCTTACAAAACCTTCCAATCTTCCTTATTCACATTTCGCTATCTCAAGAAATCATCTAGAGATATAGAAAAATTGATGTCAAGTACAGGTCGAAGCTCAATGCAGAAACTACTATCTACTTTTTATTAAAAGTAAGCTAAAATTAACATTATCAATCGGAATTTTGTTATTTACACAACCTGCTCAGTGGCCTAGTAGATAAAACCACCGAATACTGGTAATTGGCCGCGGGTTCAGACCTGGCCACCTAAAGTTTTTCGGTTTTCTTCCCGTTTGTAATACCTAAACAGGAGTTTTACTCCATAGAAGGGGAATCAAGAAGCATCCTCCTGTTTGATAATTAATCGCCCGATAGATATCATCTGTGATCCCTAGCCTCTGTCGGAGTTAAGACATTACAGACGTGCTGATTTGTTAAAAACCCTTTTTAGTAGTTGTGTAACTTACTATCTATCTATTAACTTAATACTAATACATATATTACGAATTATTTCATAGATTTATTCGACTCGTAAGTTCGATGGTTTTCTGCAGACAATTATCAGGTACTAGCGAGATACATTACAATTTAATAATTTCGTCATACAGTAGACTATAGTTACCAAAATCAATTCTTTGATAATGAAACCATCATTCAAGTATGTTCGGTACCGCCATTCTATCAGATTATTTATCTGATTATTGTGTTATTATAATAGAACGAGATTCTAAAATAAAACTATTGAATTTTAAAA